CACGTCTACGGCTTCGTACCCTTCTGCGGCTCGGGGCCCAAGACCAGCTCCCTGCTCGGCTGGAGCCAGGCGCCGCCCTCGCGTCGTCGTGGCCATCGCCGTCGTCGAAGACGTCGCCCCTGGCCTCCTCGAGGTCGTCGTCGGTGTCGGCGTCGTCGTCGTCCTCGCCCTCGTCGTTCTCCGCCGCCTCTTCCCTAGAAGTGGGAGGAAGTGTTCCACGGTTTGCCAGACTGGCGGTCCTGGTGTGGCGTCCTCGTCGCCATTGTCCTCCTCGAGGAGGAGGAGGTGGAGGAAGTGGAGGAGGTGGAGGAGGAGGGAGGAGGAGGGGTGAGGGTGGGGGCGGGAGGAAGACAGGAGGAGCAGAAGGACCTCTGCGTCCTTCTCCTCCTCCTCCTCCTCCTCCTCCTCCTCCTCCTCCTCATTCTCCTCCACTGTATGTTCCTGCCTCCTTCCCTCCCCCATCCCCTTCGACCTCATCTGGATCTCACGCTCCTACTCAAGATCACGCACATCCTCTGATTGTTCCTCCAAGCCCATCCTCATCATCATGCTGCTCCTGCGCGCCTGCCTTCTTACCTCGTGCTCTTTTCTCATCCCCCTCCCCTCTCCGCCTCCGTGTCATCCCCGTCATCATGTTCTCCCTCCTCCCCCTTCTCCCCAGCTCCCTCCTCCTTCCCCTCCTCCCCCTCATGATCATCCTCCTGCGTCTCCTCCCTATCTTGCCTCATCCTCTACCGACCGCCCCGTCTAGTTTTTTCTCATCCCCGTCATCTTATTGACGTTGCCGGTGCTGACGTTAGGGTCGACATCCCAAGTTGCCACTCCTCCCCCCCAAGGGGGCGGTCGCCCCTGGGGGGGTGGGGGGGGGATCAAGAGCACGACTCGCAAGTAGAACGACATGGCATGCTCCTGAGGGCGGGACACCTCCCTGCAGCCCCAGGATGGGAGGGGAGGGTGGAGGAACGACCCCGCCGATGCAACGCGTGCGGCCTCCCCCAGTTGAGAGGGGCCGCGCGGGGGTCGAGGCGAGGAGGATCCCCCCCCCTTCGGTCGCAGGCGAGGCGAGAGCTGGCGAGGGGCTGGGACCTGCGCGTGCCGAGCGCGCCCTTGAGGGCACCCCAGCCCTGACAAGCCTGGTGAGGGGCGTGACGCGCGCGCGCGCGATGTCCGGCTACTACCGCCACACCCCGTCTCCTCCTCGTTCCCTTTTGTCTGTCCGTCTTCCTTCCCTGATGTTCCCTTTCCTCCTCCTCCTCCTCCTCCTCCTCCTTCTCCTCCTTCTCATCCTCCTCCCCATCCTCCTCCTCATCATTATAATCGTCGTCATCATCATCAACATCGTTATCATCATCAGCTACATTAGCATCATCATCATCATCGTCATCATCATCATCATCATCATCAGCAGCAGCAGCAACATCATCATATGTACCGTCGTCATCATCATCATCAGCATCAGCATCAGCATCGTCATCGTCATCATCATCAGCAGGGCCATCGTCATAGCATATCACCGGCCCTCCGCTGACCCCTTGCAGTTCCATAGGACGTCAGAGAGCCCGCCGGAACTCCTTGAATGTCAGTGCTCTCCCCTCTCCGAGTCCAGGCCTTCATATACGTATATACAAATTCCTCTTCCTATATGTTTGCAAGCCCGGGCGGGGGGGAAACCCGTCACCCCCCCCCAAAAAAAAAACGGACTCCCGGGATCTGGGGTTTTGGGACCCTCCGGACGGGCCTCGAAGCGGCCCCCAGATCCTCGCAGGGCGTTTTGCCAAGCCTTCCAGCACACCTAAGGCGATAGGAGGGTCATCGGAGACGTCCCAGAGACCCCCAAGACAGCACAAGAGCGCTTCAAGAGTGACCGACGTGACCTCAAGATGGCCCAAGAGGCCTCCAGGATGGCCCCAAAGAGGGCTCCAAGAGCATTTCCAAGAAGGCCCCCCGAGGCAAAAGTCATTGATTTTCTGTTGGTTTTTTGTGAATTTGGGGGTTCTCCTCTTTTCGGCTTCCCGACGCTCCAAGACGGCGGTCTTCTGGGCGTCCAAAGACGCCTGGGAGGCTCCAAAATCGCCCCACACCCATCCAAAAAGGCTTCAGGCAGTCCAAGAGAGCCCCAAAACGGCACCACACGGGTCCAAGATGACCCTCAGAGAGCCCCATGGCGGCCCAAGATGGCCCAAAGACACCCTCCGAAGCATTCGAAATCGTGACCCGGTCGTCCAGGGAGACCGCGGTTGGAGGCAGGGTGGCCCGAAGAAGCCCCCGGATGCCCTCAGAATACACCCACGAGGCCTCCAGAAGGACTTAAGAAAGCCTGAAACAACTTGTGTGAGGCCCCTAGAGGCTCTCCAAGGAGGAGCCTCCGCAAAAAAGAGCTGCGGAGGATGGGGAGAATGCCCAGGATATGGCGAAAAGAATGAAAAAGAAGCATGGAGGAAGGATACCGAATAACATTATTATAGCGGCGATGCCAGAAAAGGCAACAAGGAGTTATCGCTAAATCGTCGGCTTGACCTTCCTGCTATTCCGCCTGCATACCAAACTTCAAGGACCAAGGTGCATGGCGCGAAGCGCCACTGCAGTCTTGTGTGTATATATATGTATGTGTGTGTATTCGCAAGGGCTTCGCCCCCTGCCGCCGGCCCCCTCTCTATCATAATGGGATACATCAGAGCTATATTGGGATGCTCGGGCGCCGTCTTGATGACATTCGGGAACGTCATGCTAGGGCGGCTGGCGATGAGCAAAACAGATTGAGATGTTGAAGTTGTTGTTGAACGCTTTGTTGCCTTCTTGGCATTTTCCTCCAGTTGTTCACTGGAAGCGCTCTGGGAACGGCTGGGGATTGCTTCAGGCAATCTCTGGGAAGGTTATTTTTTCTGCTCTGGAGAAGGAGTGGCGCCTTTGGGTAGCTTCCGCGAGGTGGATTCGTAGCGTGGGGGGTGCGCGCGAATTTGGTGTATTTTGCAGGGGATCGTGGCCTCGGGGACGCGAACGTGGCGTAATTTACCAGGGATCGTGGCCTGGTGGGCGCGACAGCGGCGTAATTTACGAGGGGTCGTTGCCTCGGGGGCGCGAATGTGGTGTAATTCACGCGGGATCGTGGCCTCGGGGGCGCGCATGTAGTGTATTTTTTGAGGGATCGTGGCCGTGGGGGGTGAATGTGGAACCCACCGCCAAATTTTTTTTAGAAACAGAGGGGGGGGGGCAAAAGAATACCAGCGGAGCACATATCCCAATACAGAAAATTTCCGTTTTCCTGCTTTGGAAACGGGGAGCGCCTTTTCGGCAGCCTCCGCAAGGCGGATTCGTAGCCTCGGGGGCGCGCCCGCTGCGTAATTCACAAGGGATCGTGGCGTCAGGGGCGCGAATTTGTTGTAATGTACGAGGGATCGTGGCCTCGGGGGCGCGAAAATTATATAAATTACATGGGGTCGTGGCTTCGGGGGCGCGAACGTGGCGTAAATAACGCGGAATCGTGGCCTCGAGGGCGCGAGTCCGGAGTAATTTACAACTGATCGTGGCCTCGGAGACGCAAATGTAGCGTAAAGTACCAGGGATCGTGCCCTCGGAGATACGAATTTAGCGTAATGTACCAGGGATCGTGGCCTCGGGGGCGCGAATACAGCGTAATATGTGAGGGATTATGGCTTGGGGGGCACGAAACTCCCGTATTTGTACGTGTCCCACGCCCCCCCAGAAATTCTGAGAACCCTCCCGGGGGACGCTAACCAGGGCCCTTCTCGGCTCCCCCCCTCGCGCGGACAGTAACAGTTTACAGTAGGAAGCAGAAAGCAATATTGTAGCCATGGAAACTGGAAACTGGAACTGGTGCAGGGAGCAGCAACCTTAATCCTTGCAGCCTGATGGCCCAGCAAGGGGGCTGGCGGATATGTATATATATATATACACACATACATGTGTATATATATATATATATATATATATGTAGATATGCCATGTCCTCCTCATCCTCCTCCTCCGTCTCATGCTCCCCCTCCTCCCCCTCCTCTCCCTCCTCACATCCTCCCCCATGTTCCTCCTCCTTCCCTATCTCCATATCCTTCCACCCCTCCTCGTCATTTTTTGTCCTACGACACCGTGCGACGGCGAATCCGACGACGTTAGTGGCAGCGGCGCTGGCAGCGGCGTCGACAAAGATGATGACGACGACGATGACGGCGACGGCGACGATGACGACGATGTCGACGGCGACGGCGACTCTAACGACGACTGACGACGGCGCTCGCGAAGACGTAGGCGGCGGCCACGACGACGGCGGCGGCGCGAGGAGGACCTGCGCAACCCGGACACCAACGGCTTCCGCTTCTGGGAACAGGGCTACTGGTCGAACCACTTGGGGCCGGACAGGCCAGCCCTGGAAGCAGCTGGAGGATCGGGAGGGAGGGAGGGAGGAGCGCACGGCGGGAGGAGGAGACAGAAGGGATGCCGCCAGAGATGGACATGTACCCATCAGTCGTTGAAAGTCGGTACTTTGGGAGTCCCAGAATCCTATCTACGTTAAGCGCCTTCCTACTTCAATGGTCGAGTGGCTTCACCTTTTCCATCCTCTTTCGGGGGCGGGCGGACACCCAATTTGTTTGTCAACGCCTTCCTATTTCACCTTTTCTTCCTACTGCTTCCGACCGATGGGTGGGTATCAGCAGCAGGAGCAGGAGGCAGGAGGAGGAGCAAAGGCAGTAGGAGCCGGAGATGGAAGGGGAGCAGGAGGGAGAGTCAATTTGGGGAAGTCGAACGAGTGAGCGGGCCCCGCTCATGCCCACCCTCCTCCCAATAACATAGCAATACATGTTAGCCAGCGTGGAGACAGTGCGATATTGTACTGTGGAGGTGAAAACTATGTGGTGCAAGCTATGTGTATTAAGCTATGTCGTGTAAGCTAGGTCGTGTGAAATGGAGCTCGGAGCCATGGAGTCGAAGCTATGCGATGTGCGTTGTGTAATCTACGCGGTGAAGCTGTGCGGTGTAAGTTGTGTGGTGTGAGCCATGTGGTGAAAGCTGTGTCGCGCCAGCTCAGAGTACGGGGCGTCCACGAGGAGGCACGAGCGGCGAGGCGGCGCAACCTTGGTACACCCCCTCAGCGAGCGGGGTGCCCACGAGGCGGCACGGGCGGCAACGTGGCGCAACCTCGGCGTACCCCCCCCCCCCCCCAAGCGCGGATGCCCACGAGCCTTCAACGAGGCGGCACGGGCGGCAACGTGGCGCAACCGTCGCAAAGCGTGGCCCCCCAAGCGCGGGACGCTCGCGAGGCGCCCGCGAGGCGGCCACGGGGCGGCACGGGCCGCAGCGTGGCGGAACCCCGGAGTGCCGAGCCAAGCACTGAGCAGAAGGAAAAATTGGTACCCCCTTGCGTGCAAGCACTGTTTGGGGGGGGGTAGTGGCACAGCTTGACTCTGGGATCGGAGCGCGTTCGCACCCTGGCGAACGGAAGGCTCTCGCGCGCGCTCCCACCTCCGACGGCCTGACGAGAACACGACGCAGGCCGCGCGGGGGCGGGGGCGGAATTTCAGAAAATCTTTGTGCGGCGATGCGGCAAGAGCACCATGGTGGCCAAGTTCCCGACGAGCGCAGCAAAGGCGAAGCATACGCCCTGCAGAAGCAGCACAGCCACTTTCACGCACGAAGCTGCGCGGCACCTTGGATGAGGGTAGCATCTCGCCCGCTCTCGCGTGGCCCCGCTGCCGCTGCCGTTCTCTTACCACTCAGCAAGCGAAACATGCGCCGCGCCCACGCGGGAACGCCACTTCCAGACGAAATGTGCCGGGAGCACGAGCGAGGGCGACCATGGCTAGACCTAAACGTTGTTTTGCTGGATTGAATCGTCACCTGAATTGTCACTCGCGCCCTCACTGCTTAAATACCAATACGAATCCCCACCTAGAGCGTCACTCGCACTCGCACGGCTTAAATATTCAGGTCTATATTCACCTAAATCGTCACCTCAACCGTCATCTAAACCTCCACGCGCTCTCACTGCTTAAGTCTTCACCTGAATCTTCACTCGCGCTATGACAGCTTAAACCTTGACCAGAGACATCGTCGAAAGTTTGACCAAGAGCCCCGCCCAGTTGAATATTCACAATCTTTACCCCGAGCCCAGCCATGTTCAATCTTCACCAAAATCTGCACCCAGAGCCCCGCGTGTTCGTTCGAACTTCGATCTTATACGAAAACAAAACGAGAGCAGACAACAATGATCAGCCTGAGCCTTGACCCTGCCACCGCCATCGGCACAATCACCAGCGAGATCTTCGCCCCAGCCACCAACATCGGCACCGAGCTGCGTAAGAATCTCAGCGAAGATGGGCTTCAGTTTCTTACTAGGATTAATTCGGGCCTGTCCCTCTACAGGGGGAAATGTCAGTTATCCGGACGAAAGACCCAACCATGTGCAGTTGTGAGTAACGCAATGATAAATGCAGTCCTCGGTGGAGTTCCCTATGGGGCCACGAACCGTGTGGGGTGCGCCGAAATGGGGGTGGAACTGCATGCGAACTTTGCCACTGGGGCCGTCGGTGGAGCTCCCTATGGGGCCACGAACCGTGTGAAGGGTGCGCCGAAATGGGGGTGGAAGTGCGTGCGAACTTTGCCGCTGGGGCCCTCGGTGAAACTCCCTGTGGGGCCACGAACCGTGTGGGGTGCGCCGAAATGGGGGTGGAACTGCATGCGAACTTTGCCACTGGGGCCTTCGGTGGAGCTCCCTATGGGGCCACGAACCGTGTGAGGGGTGTGCCGAAACAGAGACATGCAAGGGGCAGAGGCAAGGAGGGAGGGGAGGCAGCGGGAGGAGAAGGAAGGAGTACTCGGGCGCTGTCTTTTCAAAACGAGGACCCAACACCACCGGATGCTTGGGAAAAATAGTCAAACAATAGTCTGGGGACGTTTTTTAGTATGTTTGAGCATTTGTTGGGTATGGTTTAGTTTCGTTCAAACTCTGCCTGTAGGGGGACATGTTCTGACCTAAAGCCAGGAGGTGGATTAGCAGAAGTGTTGAGTGTAGTCAAGTTAGCCAGGTCGGGCGAGTCAGAGGGCCCCGCCTACTCCCGCCCCCCCTCCCACACCATAACAATCAAGTTTGGCACAGTGTGAGATTGGGATTGGAACGGCCCCCCCCCCCCAAAAAAAAAAAGAAGGCGCTCGCGCGCGGTCCCTCTCCCGACGATTTGACGAAGACAGAACTAGGCGGGCCGCGCACGGACGGGGGAGGCAAAACGTCCGATGGGCGCGGCGACGACGAACCATGTATTTTTCGCTGACAAGTTGCGTAGCGTTTGGGTGAGGTCGGCATGCCGCCTGCTCTCGCGCGTCCCCGCTGCCACTGTCGCCTCCGTGCGCTTCAGCGAACGAGCCATGCGACCGCGCCCGCGCTGGAACGCCACTCCCGACCCAAAGGCACACAGAGCTTGGGCGAAGATATCAAGTCGCCCACGCTCGCGGGCCCCCAAAAATTGGCCGAGTGACACATGTGCGTCGCGTCGAGGCGGGAACGCCACTTTCAGGCGAAATCTCGGCGGCGCCGAGGCGCGAGCGACATTTGTGTCTGCCCGTGCGTCGGCGAAGTGGCGTGCGAACAATATACCCGGCGCCCAGGCGGGACCCCAAATAATTAGAAAAAACGAGCGCAGCGCCGAGGCGCGAGCAACATTTCGGCCTTTCGCGCGACATGTACGCCCCGTCCTATTATTGCCACGCATTTTGCAACAGGGATGACAGAATAGCCATGTTGAGACGAAAAGCCTTGATGCTGTATTGTTGTTTTGACGGGCAAGATGGGACTACCAGGATTGCGTCGCGATCAGCCCGCTAGATGGCAGAGTGGGACTATAAGATAACAAGGGACATGGATAAGGATTAGGGATGAGGAGCAGCAGCAGCAGCAGCAGCAGCGGGAGAACAAGTGGAATAGGAAGAGGAGGAAGAGAAGGGGGAAGTGGGGGTGGAGGGGGAGCAGGAGGAGGAATGGGAGGAGGAATGGGAGGAGCAGGGGGAGCAGCATGAGGATCAGGAGGAGGGGAAGCAGAACGAGGATCACGAGGGACAAACAGAACAGTAGGATCAGGCGGAGGAGGATGGGAAGTCGAGGACCAGCAGGAGGATGAGGAGCGGGGAGGAGTCAGGGAAGGGGCAGGAAGGGGGATCTCACAGTGCCCGCTGGAGCGTCTGAGAACCATTCGAAACCATCCTAAAATCTTCCCTCACCACTCATTCTTACCATCCCCCTCCGGGCGCTTCTGGAAACCGTTGATATGACCGGCGAATGTTTCCGAAAAAGAGAACGCATTTTGCATACAGGTATAACACCATCCTCCCCCCTCGTGTCTCCTCAATCCTTCTCCTCCTGCGGAGGGGGGAATCAGGAGGGAGGGCGAGGGAGGGAAGATTGAGAGGAAAAGGCGATGGATGAGGGGGGGCAGAGGAGGACAACAACGCGGACGAGGGGGAAGGTGACGAGGAGAAGGAGCATTTTTCATGGAGGAGGAGGCACAGGGAGAGGACGTAGGGACGAAGGGATTTGGGATTTACGTCAAAAGCCTCAGACCCCAAGTCCGTGAGAAGCTCGAGGGAGATCATCCCGATATCCAGACGACAAAACATCAGCCAGCCGCCCTCCGCACAATCCCCCGTAAGCATTCAAGCCCGGCCCGAGCACCCCCGAAAGTCCCGAAGACCAGCGCATTCCCCCCGCGCGCGCTCTCGGGCCACTCACAACCCACGCACGCGCGCGCGCTCGGGGGCGGCCAGCAGTGGAGCGGAGGAGGAGGCGGAGGAGGCGGAGGACCTCCTCCTCCTCCTCCTCCTTCTCGTTCTCTTCTTGGGAGGATCTTGGGAGGGGAGGAGGAGGAGGAAGAGGAGGAGGAGGAGGAGGAGCAGGAGGAGGCGGAGGAGGAGGAGGAGGAGAGAAGGAGAGGAGGAAGGAGGAGGAGGAGGGGGAGGAGAAGGAGGATGAGGGGAGGAGAACGAGGATGAGGAAGAGGGGGAGGATAATGTCCTCCTCCTCCTCCTCCTCCTCATCATCATCATCATCATCATCATCGTCATCATCATCATCATCATCATCATCCTCATCCTCATCCTCATCCTCATCCTCATCCTCATCCTCATCCTCCTCCTGCTCCCCCTTCCTCCTCCTCCTCCTCCTCGTCCTCCAGTTCTTCGCTCTTTCCTCCTCGTCCCTCGCTCCTCCTCCCCCCTGCCGCTGGCGCGAGGTATTATCACATCTCGGCGCTCTTTGTGGTGGACCTGGAGCTCTTCCGCCAGCGCGGCGCTGGGGACATCCTGCGGGGCACGTACCAGTCGCTCACCGCGGAAGGGGGGGATAGATGGGTGGTAGAGGAAGAGGGGAAGGAGGATGGAGGAGGAGTGTTGTCGTTGCGCAGTTTGGGTGGTTCTTCGAAGGCTCCGTTTGTCTTGACGGGTTTCCACGGGATCTTCGATGGTCCTATTTTTGTTTTTCTTCCTCCTCTTCCTTCTCCTCCTCCTCCTCCTCCTCCTCCTCCTCCTCCTCCTCCTCCTCCTCCTCCTTTGTCACGTCCGTCTCGTTGTCCTCCCCCTCGTCGTCGTCCTCCTCCTCCTCCTATCACCCGCCCCGCTCGCGCGGGTGCGCCCGCGCGCGGGTTGGGGGCGTGAGGGGGCAGTTCTGGCAGTGCGAGTCGACATTGCCAGATGAAACCACCGCATTCTGGAAGTATGGTGGTGAAACGCAGCGCGTGATTCAAACATGCCAGGGGCACCGACGAGTTAGTTGGCAGAATCCCGTCGTCTTTGGGATGTCCTGGTCGGCAGTTGGCGTTTTGGTGAAAGGATAGCTCCAGGTTCGTCAAAAGATGTGGCCCAGATGGACCGGAAGCCCAGGCGTTACCCACTTCAGGCTCTGCCAACGTTGCCGAGGGTCTATTCCCGCGCGGAGGTATACCGCAGTTGAGAAGTTGTGCGCCTACACAAATCTGTCCTCGGCGACGTGCGAGGGAAGATTCGGGGGGTAAGGGCATGAGGAAGGGAGTGGAGGGAGGAGGAAGATGGGAGAAAGAATGGGGAGGAGGAAAGCATAGCAGAAAGTGCAAACACACACACACACACGCACACACACATACTCTCGGAGGTCTGCTCGGATTTCTTGGGCCAGCGCTGGACAGCCACCCCCAGCTGCACCGCAGGTGCCAGCCATTTTTTCGCGAAGCAATGTGGATGCATCTCGTGGCGGGTCGTAGGCGGATGGCGAGGCTGGACACAACATAGATGGCTGGTTCCAGGCGTGCGCCGATATTGTCTCCAGCACATCCAGGCCGCCGCATGGTGTGGTGTTAATCCAAGTATGGGTCCTACTGGTTTGAATGGCAAGGCGAGCTGTGGCACTTCAAATCAGATCAACACGCAGCAGCGCAGTGCAACGCAACTTGTTTCGCGACGTTGCAAAGCCCGTGGGTGCGTCGTGGACGGGTCGCAGGTGCTTCGCGGGTAGGCCCCGGGTGATTCGCGGGCAGGTCCGCGGGTGGCAGTAGGTCGTGCTTTGGCACGCCCGCTCGCGCGCAGTGCAAAGAACAACCCTCGCAGGGCGCCGTGCTTTTTTTCTGTTGGAGCCGTGCGGGCCTGGTCGCAGGCGGCCCGCGAGGGCGGGGGCACGCAGTGCCGCCTCCAGTGCCATCTCGTGTTAAGTCGAGCCTGTCCCCCTTCAGGAGGAATATTCAAAAATTGTCACACGCAAAAAAAAAGTCGGGGGACGATTCTGTACCTGTGGCCATCTTTGAGCATTTGTTTTCCTATTTTTGTTTTTCTTGCAAAATCTCCCTGTCGGAGGACATGCCCGACCTAAATCTCGCGGCAGTGCGAGGGGGGGGGGTTGGTCGCCAGGAGACGGTCGCACGGGAGGGGGCAGCCCGGGCGGGCGGGGGCACACACATACAGCGGGGGGCCCATGCCAAGAGACACCCCTGCTTGTCTCCAGGGTGCCCTGGGTTTCTTGCGTTCGATGGCTCTGCTATGGAGAGCGTGACGTTTCCGCACCAAGAATCAGTGGACGTCTTGGGGTCTCAGGGTTGGATTGTGAAGGCCTGACGGCCGGTGCCGCCGACCCTTAAAGACATCGACGACGACCAGGAGGGGGAGGAGGAGGAGGAGGAGGAGGAGGAGGAGGCGGAGATAAGGAGGAGGAGGAGGAGGCAGAGGAGGAGACGGAGGAGGAAAAGGACTCCCCCCTGGGACCTTGGGGTCTCAGGGTTGGATTTCTTGCGGGAGGTCTCTTGTGGACTGGCCTCCACTGTGCGTTTCATGACGGTGCGGGTGGGCGCGCGGGCAGGGACACACATTGATGGCACCCCGCCACGGGTCGTGGGCGGGGCCGCACGGGCGGGGACGGGTCGCGGGCGGTCCGCGGGGCGAACGACAGCAGCGCGAGCGGCAGGAATCGGCACCGCGGAATCGCACTCCGGCCGCGCACCAGGGGGCAGTGTAAGACCGTTCGGTTCTCTGGCCTTGATGAGCGCGGCCCATCGTCGCGCCTCAAACCTGAAGCAGCTGCTCGACGCCAGACATGGGGTGGATGGTTGCCGCCTCCACTCTCATTCGCCTATCCCTCCGCGGCCGTTGACGCTCCTTTTTCCCCATCCGACGACGACGGCGACAAAGGCGGCGACACAATGACGCCATGCATCACACAGCCTCCATCTCCTAGTCCCCCCTTCTGCATCATGATTATTATTGTCTTCGTCGTCATCATCAGAAGTATCCTCCTCGCCCTCCTCCCTTCCAGGTCCGCCCCTTGTCACCATCATCATCAGCAGCAGCATCAGCATCATCATCATCATCATCATCATCATGATCAAGAGCATCATCACTATCACCTCCATCATCAACAACTTCACCACCACTACCACCATCATCATCAGCATCATGAGCATCAGCATCACCAGTATGAACAGGAATCATCATCAGCAGCATCAGCATCAGCAGCATCAGCGTCATCATAATCATCAGCAGCATCAGCGTTATCATCATCATAATCATCATCATCATCATCATTATTATTATTATTACCACCAGCATCATCATCACCATACCACCATATCATCATCATCATCACCATCACCATCACCATCACCATCATCATCATCATCATCATCATCATCATCATCATCATCATCATCATCATCATCTTCATCTTCATCTTCATCTTCATCTTCATCATCGTCGTCGTCATCGTCGTCGCCGCGCGACTCGTCCGCTAACCTCTTTGTGCTGCCCAGGAAACTGACCTATGTCGGTCTCTCCGGTCGGGCACTTGAGCGCGCGGGGCGGCGGTCGCACGGCGCCCCCCAGCCGTTACGAATACCACCATCATCATTATCATCATCATCATCATTATCAGCATCATCATTATCCTCCTCCTCCTCCTCATCATCATCATCATCATCATCATCACAAGCTTCACCAGCATCACCATCATCATCAGCATCATCACCATCATCATCATCAGCATCATCACCAGCAGCATCACAATCAGCATCATCACCAGCAGCATCATCATCACCTGTCTTTTGTCGGCATCATCATGACTACCGACCTCGTCATCAGTAGCAGCATCGTCATCAGCTGTCTTTTGTCGGCATCATCATGACTACCGACCTCGTCATCAGCAGCAGCATCGTCATCAGCTGCATGATGCGCATCGTTATGTTCATCCTTATCGTCGACGTTATCACCATCACCAGCATTATCAGCCTCCTCATCATCACCATCGTTCGCACCATTCGCATAATCTTCATCGTCGTCATCACCGCCGTCGTCGTCATCATCCTGCCCACCCTGGCAACGCAGGACCCCAACAGCCTGGCGAACTTGGACCAGGCTCCCGGGGCAGCCCGGGCGCGCGTGCACGGAGTGGAGGTGGGCTTGCGGCGAGCCGTGCCGCGTAAGCACCAGCATCGGCATCTTGGGCACACCTGGAATGCGTTGGCGGATATCGTTGCCAAGATGACCGCTCTTCGTAAGATGAACGAGCCACCAGAGTTACCGAAACCCTTCACAGAAGCCCTTCAGTTCGCTCCAGTGGGAGTGGATACTGCAGGAGAGCCAGGATGCGCACGCGCACCTCTTGGTCGGATCGGTTTTCAGGTTTCGAGGTTCGACGGTTGTCGGGCGCCTCAGTATCGGGCATTACGAGAACTCCCGTCGCGGGCGATTTATCAACCCCAGCGGTGGAGCTCCGCCCGAAAATTTGGTTGCGTAGAATAAGAGGGGAACTCGGGGATACATTCCTAGGGGACTATTCGGACGCACTCCTATCGAGGATTGACACCCCTTCTCCGTATATCTCCGTGTTTGGCTTGAATTGTTTTATCTGTTTAAAGCCCCTCTCGGGGATTTAGGTCGCCATATTCCTTGTTAGCACTGTTAGCCAAGCCATAGAAGTCGACTGAGGAAATTCGCTCCAGTTCACTCGACATTGGCTTTCGGTTGTGCAGGTGCTGTCCGTAATGATGCGTTTCGCCGGATACAGCCGGTTGTTTTTACCGCTGGAGGACCGAGTTATGGCGCGAACACCATGGTGGCGATAAGAAGGCACGTCGATGTCCCGCGCATTGCATCACATCGAGATTGTGTTGTAGTTTCACCTGCATTCCAAGACGAGCTTGAAACGAGGGTGAGGCCAGAATTGTGTCGATCCAGGTTTGCGCTGACGTGGGAGCGAAAGACCTAGCAGAAACGCGGCATAGCACAATAGTAGTTCAGGTGGTTTGACCCCCCCCTTCCCGCCAATGTTGTTTTGTCATCATCGGGCTGACAAGCGGCGCAGGGGTCCGGAAGCTCGCCCAGGAATTTCCGGTACCTCTGAACCGACCATTTATGGGACCTGGGCAAGGTATATCTATTCCAGGGCCCCCCTGGGCCTGCCACGCGCGGGCGAACCAGAATTTACAAATATTCTGAACCGCTTTCCAGAGATGCCAGCACGCCCTTGGCCCGTCGGGCTGGCGAATTGTTCCCCGATGGGCCCAGGCACAAGTTGGGCACCTCGCGGAGCCCAAGGTCGGCGCAGGTGCCCCTCAAGGGTGTATGTTTACACTGCGCGTCCACCCTTCTGCCTGCTAGATGCTCGAGCCCGCGCGCTCGACCCCCCCTCGCACTCCCCCCACCCCTCCCCTCCGCTCCCTCACTTCACCGCTGACCGCTCCGCTCCCTCCCTCCACCCTTCCCTCCACCCACCCCTCCCCCTCCCCTCTACCCCCCCGTACCATCCACCACATCAGTCCTTGCATCTCAATCCCCCCTTCGCAGACGAGCAAGAGGTCATGACAATGATACGCTTCAAGATCTCCAAGATTCCCCAGATTTCCTGATGCTCCAGACGGGCCGCAGAAACGAGGGGCCTCTCCAAGCTACAAGAAGATGCCTGGAACGTGCCATGAGCCAACTGCGTCGTGGCCTCCCTCTCGTCGTGCCCTCCCCCCTCGATGGCCTCGCCTGCCCCACCGCGCCCGAGGACCTGCCGAATTTCGTCCAGGGCCAGCTCCCGATCTTCACCCTGCCGCAGGACCGCCCCGCCCGCCGTCTCGCCGCGCGCCCGTGCGCGGCTTCCCGCCATCGGGAGGAGGAGGAGGAGGAGGAGGAGGAGGAGGAGGAGGAGCAGCAGCAGGAGGAGCCGCACGCAGGGGGGGGGGGAGGGCCTCCGCGGGGGGGGGCCCTGGCTGGTGCGAGCCCCACGGGGGGTCCCCGGAAGCGCTGGCCTGCGCGCCTGGGACACCTGGTCCTCTTCCGCGGCTTCTGCGCTTCCGCCTTCACCTCATCCGCCTCCTCCTCCTTCATCATCCTCCTCTTCCTTCAACTCCTTCTCCTCCTCCTCCTCCTCCTGCTCCTCCTCCTCAAGCCGAGCACCAGAGGTCACTTCTTGCCCAGGATCACTCACTCTTGGGTGTAGGCGACGTGACACGCCGGTCGTTGAGAGCAGGTATTCTGGATGCCCCATTCCTAATTTGTTTTAGGGGCCTTCCTACTCCAAGAGACGATTGGTTGGCTCATCCTCCTCTCCCTCCCCCTCCCCGGCAGTTCTGAGGCGCTGTTTGCCTATCTATCCTAGGTCCCCTGCGCGCCAATTGTATGGAATACTTGATTGGCCCGTGGGAGGGGGGGCGGGATGGGCCCACTGCTATCAGGGGCAATGTTTTGTGAGTTTCGAGGTTCTCTTGCGTTTTCGTCAATTCTCAACGGCTTTCCAGCCTCGGGATGCCCTCCAGCAGCTGCGCCTTGCCGAGAGGCTTCCAGGGGTGCCTGTATCGTCCCGAACGGCCGTTGAGGAGCAGAGTTATGACCCCAAAACCCCGGAGGCAACGCTAGGGAGGTGGGGGAGGCTTCAAGGAGGACGTATTGACCTCCAATCGCTTTTGATCGCCGATAGGGTTCGGATGGCCCATCCCGTACAGGAATCCCTGGGTTCTGGTATCGGGGCCCTTCCGCCGATCTAGCGGCGATGTATCGTCGTTTCCAGCTCGATGGTTTCCCCCCCCTGAGATAGTCTGTCCTTACCATTGCCCCTCAAACTGGTGTAAGACGAAGAGCTCGCCCTGGATGCAAGAACTCAGCGTGGCTTGGGTACAAACAGACTCAGTCAGTCTGAATGCGAGGACAAAGTTTGCGCGGGTCCAAGAACGTCGTTCTGGGGGAGCCGGGCGTGCCCAGGAGGAGAAGGAGGAGGAAGACCAGTGTAAACCCAAGAGTCAAGGATGTTGGAATAATCCCTCCCCCAAGCTCCCTCTTCAGAGGCCCTTACAAAGGTTCATGTCCATTGGGGGAACTGCCTCTTTCGAAGACAGGCGTTTGAAGACCCTGACGCATGCCAAAGAATTGTTCTCGGGATTCCAACGCCACGGATGAACGTGAATGTTTCGTCTTGACGATCCTGAATTGTGCCAGAACGTCATTCCTGGGACTTCGACACAGCGAATCAATGTCACGGCTGCACCCGCATGATCCTGAATCTTTTCAAAACACCATGTTTGGTACGTTGATGATGGGAACCCGTGAAACTCTTACAACTGTTCAGAAAGAATGTGCGCCGAGCTAAGGCGAGAGCCACATTTTGAAAAGGAACGCCCTCAATCCGTGAAACCCTTGCAAGATGTTTTATAAAAAAGAAAAAACCGCGCAACGCGCTAAGGCGAGAGCCACATTTTGAAAAGGAACCGCCATCAACCCGTTGCAAGTGTTGAGAATGCATGTGCCCCGCGCTAAGGCGAGCGCCACATTTTGGAAACGACCTGCCCTCAATCCGTGAAACTCTTGCAAACGTTTAGAACTGATGTGCGCCGCGCTAAGGCAAGAGCCACATGTTGAAAACCACCCGCTCTCCATCTGTGAAGCTGTTGCCAATTTCTAAGCTTCAGAATCATGAATGGTGAGGAAGTCTCAGGCGAAACACCCGGACCGCCATAAAAATTGGCCTCGGGTGCAATAGGAAGAAGTTGTTGATATGGAAAAGGAATGGAGGAGGAGGAGGAGGAGGAGGAGGAGGAGGAACCAGTGTAGAAGGGTCGAGGTTTATGTTTTTGAAGCGTTGCGAGTTTTATCGTTTCAGAGACTTCCAGGACGCTCTAGAGAAAGGCCGCGGCGCCCAACACGCCAGGTTTCAGATGTTCACCTCCGATGTGGAGCCCCGGGCCCGATGTTGTCCCCGGCGTGCCGCTTCGCTCGCGCTTGCGCCCGGAGATCTGTCTTCCTGCTGCACTTTGGCCTGGCGGTCTGCTCGCCGAGCGCCCTGCGGCCGAGAGCTTCTGGCCACCGCCGGGGGCACGGCCGGGGCCCATCGGGCGGCGCAGGCTGCAGCGGAGGCCGAGCCCAAGCGCCTGTGCAGGGGAGGCGCCGAGGCTGCGTGAGCGCCTGAGCTTGAGCTCGGAGCTCGACAGGACGTAAGAGTGACCTTTCGCAGGAGTGACCTGTGGTGCGGGCCCAATGGGGTCCCCCGCTCGCCGAAGGCGAAACGGTAGCAGCGGCGTGCGCGCCCAGGCCTGGCCACCCCGCGTCCCCCCGTTAAGCCGCGCACCAAGGGTCGCTCTTGCCTAGGGTCACTCTTGCGTGTAGCCGAGGGACGATCGTCATGGGCACGGAAACAATGGAACGAAGATTGGCAGCAGTGCTTCCGTGCATGTTGAGCAGGGTTCTCCATCGGTGCCGCCGTGGGCGTCCGTTTGAGGCAGGAAGTCGCCTGCCCAACAGCGGCCGCTGCTGGTTCTGGACCACGCCTGCTGTTGGCCATCGTACGCGCGGTAAGTTAGCATCGTGTCCACCAGCGGCGACCCTGCCGCCGACGTTCAACGCTGAACGCCGCCGGCGACCCTGAATCGACCAATGATGATGATGATGATGATGATGATGATGATGATGATGATGATGATGATGATGATGATGATGATGATGATGATGATGATGATGATGGTGATGGTGATGGTGATGGTGATGGTGATGGTGATGGTGATGATGATGATGGTCATGATAATGGTGATCATCATGATCATGATCATAACAATGATGATGATGCTGATGATGCTGATCATGATAATGATGTTGATGCTGATGATTGGGATGGTGATGATGATGCTGACATTGACGATGAGGATGATGATGATGATGATGATGGTGGTGGTGATGATGATGATGGTGACGCTGATGCGGTCGCTGTTCCTGCTGATGATGATGCTGATGATGCTGATGCTGATGATGCTGATGATGATGATGAGAGGGATGATGATGAGGATAAGGATGATGATGATCACGATGATGCTGATGATGCTGCTGATGATGATGATGTCGACGATGACGATGGCAACTATGATGACGATGGCATAATCGCCATCGTCCTCGTCATAGTCGACGTCATCGAAAGTCCTGTTGCGTACCAACCTCGGGCGTGCCAGCGAGCGCGCGGCGGAGGCCCACCGCGCTCGCCCGAGCGCAGAGTGCGGCCGCGGCCACGGCCGCGGCCGCACTCTGCCTCCTCCTCCTCCTCCTCCTCCTCCTCCTCCTCCTCCTCCTCCTCCTCCTCCTCCTCCTCCTCCTCCTCCTCCTCCTCCCCTCCTCCTCCTCCAGGGACGTCCTGATGCAGAGTGGGGGCAGGCCGCGGCCTGCCCGCGCCCAGCCGCGGCGCAGGACAGCGCAAGCCCCGGCCGACGCCGAGCGCGCTGCAGAGGCCGAGCGAGCGGCGCCCGCCCAGGCAGAAGGCCGACGCTCGGCGCCAGCGCCGTGCAGAGGTCGACAGGACGTCGTCCTCCTCCTCCTCCTCCTCCTCCTCCTCCTCCTCCTCCTCCTCCTCCTCCTCCTCCCCTCCTCCTCCCCCTCCTCCTCCTCCTCCTCCTCCTCCCCCTCCTCCCCCTCCTCCTCCCCCTCCTCCTCCTCCTCCTCCTCCTCTTCCTCCCATCCTCCCCCTCCTCGTCCGAAAGAGTGACCCTGCGCCAGTGTGACCGTTGGCGTCCGGTCGCCGAAAGCCGCTCACCAAAGGTCACCCTTGCCCAGGGTCGCTCTCGCGTGTGGCCGAAGGGGGCGGCGCCGTGCAGAGGGTCAGAGGAGCTTCGCCTTTGCGAGTGGCGGGGCGCCGGTTCTGTCCCACCCCGCTGCGGCGCGACACGCTGCTACCACGTGCCCGTTTCCAAGCATCGGCGTCTCAAGCCTTCCGCTGCCACCAGCCCCGCGGAGTGGAGCGACACGCCGTCCGCTTGCAATGCAAGCGCCAAGCGTGCCGTCGTGGCCGACGCCGCGACACGCTGTGCAAAAGTTCCTGGCCGCAAGTCAATCGAAGGAGTTCGACGGCGAGCCCAGGGGGGAAGTGAGAAGGGGTGGGCCTTCTCAGAAGGCTCGGAAGTCTCTTGGCCTTCTGAGAAGTTCCCTAGCCTTCCCCGAAGACACAGCAAACATGTCAGAAGGCGCGAGGGATTCTGAGAAGTCCCGCCGCCTTCTGAGAAGTCCTTCTCCTGCTCACTTCCCCCCCTCGCCCGCCGCCAAGCAAAGCGTGTCGTCGTGGCCGACGCCACGACACGCTGTGCAAAAGTTCCTGACCGTAAGTCCATCGAAGGAGTCCCACAGCTGCTGCTCACGCACGGCCTGGGCGCCCGACGCCTGGTGCAGGGCCACAGACGGCCTGGGCATCCTGCGTCTTTGGCGTTGCGCGAGCTCCGGGCGCAGTGGCCCCACGGCCGCGGAGCTGCGGCGCAGCCCGCGGGATGGCCGCGAGGAGGGCGAGCTCTTCCGTGTAAAGCGGGCGAGCCACCTTTAGCAAAGTGGGCGAACGGGCTCCGATGCTGTAAGGTTCCACGCGCGACCACGAGCTCGGGGTGCGGGCCCGCTCTCGGCGAGGTCGTGGCATCCCCCCTCGGTCCTCACCCCCTCTCTTTCGGCGAGGTCGTGGCATCCACTGCCAGAAGTCAAGAAGAGGGCGTGGAGACCAGACGAGCTCCACGCCAGCAGTGCGGTTTTCTCTGCGCGACGGGGTCCCGACAGTGAGTGCGAATGGTTTCAGTGCCGGCCGAGGGCGCTTAAACGACGTCCACGTCATGTGGCATCCTCCTCCTCCTCCTCCTCTTCTTCTCCTCCTCCTCCTCCTCCTCCTCATCATCATCATCATCATCATCATCATCATCCTCCTCGTCCTCCTCTTCCTTTCATCTCCTCTTCCCCCTCTTCCTCCCATAGCCTCCTCCTCTTCCCCCTCTTCCTCCCCTTCCTCCTCGTCCTTCCACCTCCTCTCATCTCCTTCGCCTCCACCTCACCATCGTCCTCCTCCTCGTCCTCCCTTCCGCCAGCGGCGATCTCGGCTGCAGCGTGGAGGTGCGGTCACCCGGGCCTCCTGCCAGTGCCTCGCGGCTTGTGGAGCGGCCTTGCCTGGCTCCGTCCGCCCCCCTCCTTTCTGTGGCGCACGACTTGTCATTGAGCGCCAGTCGCGGCAAGCAACCAGTTTTATCAACCCACGGCCTCGGCTTGCATGCGATCGGCATGATCGAATCGAATTCATCCCCTCTCTCTTCCTCACTCGCGCTCTTCCCTCCTTTCTCGTCCTCCCCGCCCTTCCTCCCCAACCCAACCTGCATATCCCCCTCCCAACCCTCCCCTCCAGAAGTATGGGGAGGGGGAGGGGGAGAAGGAAGAGGGCGACGTTGCCAAAGGTGCCGCCGGCGTCGGTGACGGCGACGCCGCCGACGACGCCGATGACATAAACCATGACGATGACAAAAACGATGACGACTTCGTTGGCCACGTCGACGACCGACGACAGTTGACGACGAACGACGACGACGACGACGACGACGACGACGACGAGGACGACGACGACGACGACGACGACGACGACGACGACGACGACGACAACCACAACGACGGCAACGATCTCACCCGCCGCAAGGAGTGGCTCTGGTGCGAGACGTGGTGCAGCGAGGCCTCGAAGGCACGGCGCCCCTCCCCCGCCGCCAGAGGCCGGAGGAGGCGCGAGGCAGAAGGGCGCCATCCTCAGAGGGCATCCGGCCCTCCCGCTCGGTCCCCCTCTCGGGGCACCGTAGACAGGGATTCTTTTGCTGGTTGAGCAGGACGCTGGCACCCCCGAGAGAGTTGCAGCCGCGGGTCGAGGCACTCTGCATTCTTATAGTCCCCTGCAGGTGGGAGTTTCAAAGGCCTGGTCTGCGGTGTCCTGGCTCATGGGGCCCCGACCCTCCCATCCCAGCCAGAGGGGCAGGGAGGGCGGAGGAGAGCGGACGAGGAGGAGGAGATTTGGACGGGGGCGTCAACCAGGAAGCTGTGTACGGCGGGGGCGTTCGTGAAAGAATGTGCCCATGGGATTTCTTCTCTGATGGGAGTGGCGACGATATCAATGGCCAAGCCTCAAGTTGTGCTCCACCAGAATGTTGGACCCTGGATGTCTGATCCGAGGGTTTCTTATCCAATGCCCTCGCCGCGTTTACGCACAAAGTTCCACTTGCTCGCCACCGTCACTGCGCCCTGGCAGCGCCCGCTGCCCTGGCTGGCCGCTCCGGCCCGCTCATCGCAGAACTCTTCCACGTCTGAGCGCCCTCCCCCTCCTTCCCTCGCGCGGCCGCCCTCATCTTCGTCTCTCCGTCTTGTACGCCAGACTATTCGCCTATTGGTTGCCCCGATTAGCCCCACGCTGATACGGACTGCCTCTGCCTCGCCGCCGACGGAAAAAAAAGTTGACCCACTAACTAGCTGGATAAATATACTGTGGGGGCGTTCGTTAAGGAACGTGCCCAGGAGGCTTCAGACCCTGGAGGGTTCCTGATCTGATGAGGGCGCCGGTGATATCCGTGGCCAATCCACGATCGAAGCTCCACTAGCTTCCAGACCCTGGATTCCTTATCTAAGGGCTCCTTGTCCAATACCCCCACCGTATGATGCAACACGTCTCTCCAGCAATTTTGGCCCCTCGCGCGGCACGTGAGCTCTCCGCGTGCGCAGCCTTCCGCGCGTTCCGCATGGGAGTCCAGCCCCTCCTCCTCCTCCTCCTCCTCCTCCTCCTCCTCCTCCTCCTCCTCCTACTACTCCTACTACTACTACTACTCCTACTCCTCCTCCTCCCCCTCATCCTCCGCCTCCCCTCCTCCTCATCCTCCTCCTCCTCCTCCTCCTCCTCCTCCTCCTCCTCCTCCTCCTCCTCCTCCTCCTCCTCCTCCTCCTCCTTCTCCCTTTATAGTGCGCGCTCACCATGTATCTTTCCAGCTTCCTGGTCCTAGTCTGGTTTCGAAGGGATCAAGGGTGAGGATCTACGGGATCACCGCCCTCCCGGGCCAACGCCCACGTCCCCTGTCCTCTGCAGCTACACAGGGGATGATTGCGCCGGGGTGTGGTTTGCGATTGGCGCCGTTGGGGCCTGGGGAGCACGACGCTGCCCTCGTCGTGCCTCATGGGGGCGCGGAGGAGAGATCGATCGAAGTCCCCGCCCCGCCCCCCCCCCAGGGTGCCGGTTGCAAACCACACTCTTTGCAAACCGCACCTTTCGGAGTCGCCGATATCCGTCGTCGTTTGTCGTGGTCGTCCGTCGTCGTCATTATGGTCGTCATCGTCGTTCACCGTCATCCGTTGTCGTCGAGCTCGCTCGCTCCTCACTCCTCTCCTCATTCCTCACCGTCCTCCTCTCTCCACTTCCTCCACTTTCTCCTCCTCCTCCTCCTCCTCCTCCTCCTCCTTCTCCTCCAGCGCCGGCTTCTCGAGCCTCGGCTTCCGAAGCCAGCGCTATTGGCGCTCCGCGCGCCGCCCTGGGCCTCCCCCCCCCCTCCGCGCGCGTGGCCGCGCCCTCCGCGTCCCCCCATCAGGCGGCTGGGATGGATCCGGGTGCCAGGCGGCGGCCGCGCCGCCCGAATCGGACAGCTGCCGAGCGCCGTGCGCAGTACGCACGTGCGCAGGGCCGCGCGGCCCTCCATCTCCTCAAGGCCTTCGGGGAGATCGGCCGCCACCGCGGCCAGGAGCTGTCCAGGCTCGGCGCCGCGCTGAGCTTGGTGTTGCCTGGCCTGCCCCACGGCGCCCCTGCTAAGGAAATTGGCGGCGATGCATCGTGGCATTATGGTGGCGAGGGTGTCACCCAAGAAGGCGCTGTCGCTGGCGCCGCGCCGGGCGATGCCCGAGACCCTCAGAATCTTCGGCACGAAGTTGGAGGTGATGAAGGAGATTATGGAGGAGGAGCACTCGGCGGAGCACGGGTTGCCCTTGAGTCGGCGTGCAAGGACGAGGGCACCGCCGAGGAGCTCGTCCGCACTTGCGAGGCGCGCGCCGTGCGGATGGCCGAGGCACTGGCGCAGCTCAGGGATGGCGGTGCGGCGTCCCCCGCCGAGGACGCTCGCGCCGAAGGAGCTCTGTGTGAGGCTGTGCGGCAGGAGAAGATGGCCTTGGACCAACTCCGCGAGAGCACCGCTCGCGCGGAGGCGCTGGCACAGGCGCTGGCAGACCTCGAGATGGTGGCGGACGAGCCCGAGGAGGCGCAGAAGGAGCAGACAAGGAGTCGGCCGATCGACAACCCCATCGTGACCTTCCCCGAGGGCCGCGGGAACCAGGCCCAGGAGCTGGTGGGCACGAAGGTCGTGGATCCAGAGCTGCGCACGAGGTCTGCTCCGAGGAATTCGAGTTCATAGATACGGTCGGGGGGTCCTGTGTTTGTAAGCCTCCCGCAGGGCGGTGGAGCGGACCAGGCCCCCCGCCGCGCGCACTTTTCCGTCTGCTTTGCTCCTCGCTCTACGAAATACTCTTCCTTCTCCTCCCCTTCCTCCTCCTCCTCCTCCTCTTCGTCATCCCCCATCCCTCCGCCAGCACTCCAGCCCTCGTCGTCCTCCACCAGCACTAGGGGAAGGAGGACGGAGGAGAAGCAGGAGGAAGTCCGATGGGGGATCGTAGGGCTCAAGGGTTCTAGGAGTGCTCCCACTTCTCACTATTCCATCTCCTCGATCTCAGCTCCATCAACCCCACTCCTCCCTCCGTCATCAAGCACCGCGACGAAGTCCCAGGCAAGACGCTCAGACGATCAGGCTGTCATACGGGACAAGTCTGGTGGCACGACGAACAGGAGTTATGCAAAACGGGAGACGGATGGAAGGGGAGGGATGTATGAAGAGGCAGAGGGAGGAGGCAGGAGGAAGGCAGAGGAGGTGGAAGGAAGGGCAGCAGGCGGGAGAAGGAGAGAGGGAAGAGGGAAGCCAGGGAGAAGAAGGATAAGAACAGAGGAGGGGCGACGGAGGAGGTGGAGATGAGCAGGGAAGAGGAAGGGAGAGAAGGAGGGCTGGAGCACCCTCAAGCCGCCAGCGGCGGCCGAGGCGCGGGCGAAGACGATCGACATGTGCCAGAACCCGCTCAAGAAGGAACCCCGTCGAGACTGCCCCCGCGTTCGCCGTGCCGCTGGCGGCGCCATCCTTCCCCACACCTTCTTGGGCGTCGCTGAGAAAAACGTAACAGGCGTTGATCCGCAGTTCCTGCTGTTTCTTGGCCCTGGGGCAGTGAGACGACCCGCGGCGACGTTCGGGCCCCGAGGGTGACACCGAGGGAAACGGAGGGCCACGTCGTATGGGCCTCTTCACGCGAAAGGGGCACCAAAAGGGGAGGAGGAGGAGGAGGAGGAGGAGGAGGGGGAGGAGGAGGAGGAGGAGGAGGAGGAGGAGGAGGAGGAGGAGGAAGAGGAGGAGGAGGAGGAGGAGGGGAAGGAGAGGGACGAGGAGGAGGAGGTGGAGAACTCGGATATGAGAGATTCTGCAGAATGGCAGCATCGACACAAGAGTCTCCCGTGCGTTCATATAGCCGTGTGCTGACCACGCCGTTTTGTTCTTCCCTGTGGCCGGCACTGTACACTGGCCACGGCTTCCACTCTGCCAGAAGGATCCGCGTTCCAGCGGAAGCGGCGGAACAGGGTGCTTACCACAAGAGCGTGAAGCAGCACATGGACTCTTGCGTGCCTGGCAGTGGCCAATAGCAAGACGGGCAAGGACGGCACCGAGGAACGCGACAATACTCAGATGTTGTGCTACGCCCTGGGCAAGCTGAAGCCGCTCGGGCATCATCTGGCGGAGGCGAGGACAAGACAGCTACGCTACCGAGGCGAGGGCCAAGGATGTTCGCCCGAAGGTCAAAGAGTTCGCGTGCCAGGAGTGAGACCACCCGGCTGTGACCCAGGACGCGCGAGCGCAACAGTGCAGCACCTGGAGCAGACTATCGCCGAGCAGGAGGCTGCGGATGCCGCCATGGGCGCAGCCCCAGGCCCTGGCCTAGGGCCCCCGCCCTCACCACAACGAAGACGAGGGGTGTTTCGTGAGCTTCGCTGTGTGTTGAAATTATGTTGGGGTTTCGAGCGATTCTGGAGGTGTCCAAATTTGTTCTCTGTTGTGTCATGCTTCCTGTGATTATCGGGGGGGTTCTGGAGCTTTGAAGGGGAGTGCGCCAGGAGGATTACGAGGAGGGCGACGACGACGGTGGACATGTTGAGAGGTTATATGGGTTCTCACGTCTTCCTCTCCTCCTATCTTCCGCTGTTAATGCTGCCCGTCTCGTCCCCGCCCCTCGCCCTCCCCAACCCTTCTCTCATCCATCACCGCCGCTGCCGCCGCTTCTGTTGCTCTTACGCCCCATTGTCATCGTCACTGCATGTCTTCCATCATCATGTGCTCCTCTGTGGCGTTCGCCCCTTCTACCTTTACTCCCCGCACTTTGATCTGGAGGGAGAAAATAGAAACAAAGAGAGGGAGAGAGAGAGAATGCGAGAGAGAGAGAGAACAAACAGAAAAATGAGGGGGAGAAGAGGGGGAATGGAGGGATCCAGGGGGGAACAGATGGAGAGACGGAGGATGTGGATGTGCGAGAGATTGGGGGAGAATCGGTAGAGAGAGAGAGAGAACACAGAAAATATGTTGACAGTTCGCTAGCTCCTGCAACGCAATCCCATTGAAACACAATTGCCCCCTCAGCGCGTTCCCGTCGAGTTTCTCCTGCCCTTCCTCATCCTCCGCTTCCCAGGGCCACCAAGAGACCCCTTAGACCGGCCAGAACCACTGCCACCGCGCCCCCTCTAGAACCCTCCTCCTCGAAAGCCATATCAAAATCGAGCCCTAAATCTCTCAGGGAGCGCGTTCCGACCAACATCTCGAGGCGAATCCAGGTTTGGCAACGAGGGTGTCCCTGGAAGGCCACAAGGGCCCATATATTTATATGCGCATCTGTATACACTTATAACTAAGCGTATAAGTCGTTAGTTTGCTATGCATGTGGAGCTGCTGGTGTGTGTGTGTGATGACCTGGTAATGTGGGACGTCGATCTCGCCCCCTGCTCCATGAGTTGCGACCCCCCCTTTCAAATGCTCCCGACAATGGGGATCCGCGCGGATGTCTTGGACAATGTCTGCCCCCGATCGTTGCCCGCTGGCGGCGCCAAAGGCGCCGCCGCGAGGGCCCAGCGCCGATCCGAGATATCCGTGTGGCCTTCCGAAAGGTAATGGTCATGCCGCTTCTCCTTCCTCACGATGAAATCTTCTGGCCACTGGAGCCCGCCTCTGTGAGGAGGAGGAGGAGGAGGAGGAGGAGGAGGAGGGAGGGAGGGAGGGAGGGAAGGAGGAGGGAGGGAGGAGGAGGAAAAGAGGAGGAAAAGAGAAGGGAGGGAGGGAAGGAGGAGGAGGAGGAGGAAAAGAAGGAAAAGCCCTTCCCGTCGGGCGAGTCTCCCCCTCCCCCTCCTGGGTGCCGCCCCGGAGGAGGGCAAGATCGCGGGGGCCCGACGCATCGCTCCCGAGTGGGACACTTACGACAAGCGGATCGAGGCCCCCTCCTCGGGGGGAGGGCCAATGAGCAGCGGCTGCGGGAGGAGGGCGAGGTGCAGAGGGGTGGGGGGGTCCCTCCTTGTCCTCCCTGCCTTCCTCCTCGCACCCCTCGTCCCTCGTCATCCTTGTCCTCCTCCTGGCCTTGCTCTTCTCCTGTCCCTTGTCCTCCTCCTCCTCCTCCTCCTCCCCTCCTCCTCCTCCTCCTCCTATTCTTCCTTCCCCTCACTCAAATAGGATGCTCTGCCGCCGTTTTGCTTCAGCGCTGGCGCGCATTAAACATGGGTTGATGAGTGACACCCCCCTCATCTACATGTTATTGCCGCAACGCGTTCTCTCGTCAAGCTTCCAAACCCCGCGCCGAAATGATGTACATGTCATCGGGCATCTTTCTCCTCCTCCTCCTCCTCCTCCTCCTCCGCCTCCCCCTCCTCCGCCTCCTCCTCCTCCGCCTCATCATGTTCCTCTTCATCTTCCTCCCTGTCCTCCTCCTCCTCCTCGTTCCCCTCCTCCTCCTCTTCCTCCTCGTCATCATCACCACCACCGCCATCATCATCATCATCATCATCATCATCATCATCATCATCATCATCATCATCGTCATCGTCATCGTCATCGTCATCACCATCATCATCATCAGCATCGTCATCATCATCACCATCATCATCATCATCATCATCATCATCATCATCATCATCATCATCATCATCATCATCATCATCATCATCATCATCATCATCATCATTATCGTCGTCATCACCATCATCAGCATCGTCATCGTCATCGTCATCATCAGCATCATCATCATCATCATCCTCATCGTCATCATCATCATCATCATCATCATCATCATCATCATCATCATCATCATCATCATCATCATCATCATCATCATCATCATCGTCATCCTCATTGTCATTGTTCTTATCCTCCTCCCCCTCTCACCTCTCGTGGCCACTGCTGGGCGCGGCCCGGAAAACCTGTTGGCGATTGGTGTTGTGAGGAGTTGGGTCGGGGCGGCGGGGGGGGTCGAGGAAAGCACCTGCAGCAGAGCTGGCGGACGAAAAGGGGGAGAGGGGCAGGAGCGGGTGGCAGAGCAGCTGCTGGAGGAGAAGGCTGTAGGAAGATTTAGGAGCGCGTCGTGGTTCCAGGATGGCTGTGGGGGGGAGGCGAGAAGCACGGGGGGGAAGAGGGAGGAGGATAAGGAGGGAGAGTGGGAGAAGTAGAAAACAACAATGAGAGCAGGATGCGCATGATCAGGAGCAGAAGCGTGAGCAGGGACGGGGGAGGGAGGACATGAGGAGGATGAAAAAACAAACAACAGCCAGAGTAATAATAACGGACGTGCTTCGAGGATAAAGCGGTCTTCCGCATCCCATTGGGGGGAGGGGGGCATCTTCCCGCCTCCCTGCTCCCCTTCTTCCTTCCCCCTCCCCGCATCCATCACCCCGTCCCCGTTCCCTCATGCTCCCCTCTCTCCCCCTACCCTCTCTGCCCTCCCCCTTCCACTTCTCGCTCCTTCGCCCTCCTCCCTCCTCCCTTGCCCCCTGCCCTCCTCCTCCTCCTCCTCCTCCTCCTCCTCCTCCTCCTCCTCCTCGTCATCCTTCTGCTCTATCCATTCCCCACCCCCTCCCATTGAGCGAGCAGCGCCCGCCCCGCCCCACCCCCACCTGCGACTGCAGCGCCAAGAGCGACGACCACCAGGCGCCACCCATCCTCCGCCCCGCTCCCCCGCCTCTCTGCCTGCCCTGCCTGGTGGCGGAGGTGGCGCCGTTGCGCCACCCCGGCCTCCGCGACAGCGACGGCATCGGCCCCAGCCTCCTCCTCCTCGGAGGCATCGGCATCCATGGCCCCGATGCCAGCGGCATCGGCCTGGGTCTCTGCGAAGGCCACTTGGCCCAACAGGTTCCAGACCGCAGCACTCCCGATGATCTCGCCCTCGGGCCAGGGCAGGCCTTCGGTCACTGAGCTCGGGTCACTGAGACCTCGTCCTGTCCAGTGGCCTTCGCACTCCCGCCACCGTGCCTGGACTGTGGGTCGGAGTCCTCAGGGATGCTGCTTGGGTTTCTTCGGAGCGCTTTCGGGGGCCTCATGGGGGCATTTTTGGAGCCTCATGTGCCTCTTGGGGGCCTCTCGGAGGCCTCTTGGGAGCATCCTGGGGTGTCCTGGGGGGTTCTGGGGCTTCTTGGGGGCTTCTTGTGGGCTTCTGTGTGCCGCTTGGGGGCCTCCTGGGGGCCCTCTCAGGGCTGCGGACTCGAAATGTCGGGTCCGCCGTCGGGGCCCCCCTCCCTGGAGCCGTCTAGGAGGCCTCTGAAGCCGTCTTGGAAGCCTCTTTTGGGCCGCTGTCGGGCCCCATATGGAAACCTTTTGGCCCTGTCACCCCTGAGCAGCCCCGAAGGCACTTTCAGAGTCCCTGCGGCGCGCGCGACCGTGCGCGGCGCTTTTCGGTGAGTACTTTGCGCGGCGCCCGCGTTGAACGCGCAGTTTTTGCAGCGCCGACCGTGTGGGCAGGGTGTCCCGCTGCAGGGGTCGTTCGGCCGTCCGCGCCAGGGCGCCCAACGCCGCAAAAGAAAATGCGCTCGAACGCAAACTCTGCCGTTTGTTGCGTTTCTGGGACCTCTTGGGCTTACGTTTTTGGGGGCCTCATGGGCCGCCTTGGAGCGCCGGGAAGCCGATCAGGCGCAAAATCTCTTAAAAACCTGAGGAAACCAACGGGTTGTGCCATGTGGGGCCCTCTTAGGATTGTTTCTTGGGGCGACTTGAAGGCGTCGTGGGCCGTCTTGAGGCCACCTTGAGCGTCTTGGGTCGATCTTTCGGCGATTCGAGGCACGAATTGGACCGCCGGAAACGACCTCTGGGGACCGTCTTGGCTTGTCTTGGGGCCCTCTCGGGCCTCCAATATTCACGCGAGAAGATGCGGGAGAGCCCATGGGGCACGCTGGGGGCCCAAAAAGATTTAGGAATTCGGGGTCCGGGCCTCCAAAGGACTCCTCAGGATTGCGGGCTGAGGCTCAGGGGATCAGGCAAAGGACCTAACGACACGCCCACTCTGTGCCCAGAGGCACGGTGGCGGGTATATCCCCTCCCACTAACGGCCTCCCATCTCCCCCCAGCTCCTATCGGGTCGGGCGAAAGGGGGGGTTTGGGAAAGGGGGGGGTACGAAATCTGCTGCATGCAGCTGGTTTCGGCCCGACCGAGGGGCCCATTCCTCGATACATGGGCGCCTCCCGGCGCCGGGAGGCGCTGGGAAAATCAGCTACGCGAGCTGATTCTCAAACCCCCCCTGTGCTATCCCCCCCTTTCGCCCGACCCGATCCTACAGCCCAGGCCTCAGCTCCGGCTCGCCTGGCCAGCACCGGCACCAATGCCAATACTGGAGCCAGGGCCCGAACCGAAGCGGGAGCCGGAGCCGGTGCTGGCGCCGCGGCCGGACTGGAGCCACGATTTCCTCCTCCTCCTCCTCCTCCTCCTCCTCCTCCTCTTCCTCCTCCTCCTCCTCTTTTCCTCCTCCTTTTTCTCCTCATCCCTCCCTCCCTCCTCCTCCTCTCCTCCTCCTCCTCCTCCCTCCTCCTCCTCTCCTCCTCCTCCTCCTCCTCTCCTCCTCCTCCTCCCTCCTCTCCTCCTCTCCTCCTCTTTTCCTCTCCTCCTCCCTCCCTCCCCCCTCCCCCTCCCTCCCTTCCCTCCCCCTCCCTCCTCCTCCTCCTCCTCCTCCTCCTCCTCCTCCTCCTCCTCCTCCTCCTCCTGCTCCTGCTCCTGCTCCTGCTCCTCCCCCAAAATCCCCAGGCCGTCCTGCAGAGGATGAACGCGAGCGCGTGAGCTCGGAGGGCCGGCCGGGCCACCAGCGCGGGCGTCGGCGGCGCCGCGCCGACGGGCGGCAACCCACAGACTCGGCCGCGCAAGGGCGCGCAGAGCAGTAGAAGGAGGAGGATGACTCTTGGCCTCCAAAGGCCAAACGCTTTTACATCAGCTTCTCGCACATCCTTATCCGCAGTGGCGGAATTTGTTTGTCAAGGCCTTAGTCGGCAATGTTGTTCTGACGTCACAAGCTTGCTCTTCAGGTCCGACCAACGTCAGGAAGGAGGACGGAGGACGGTCGGGGATTCCAAGAGCAGCCAACAAAAAGTGGGTTCCGAACCTTGGTGCGCATCGTTCGGCGCCCAACCCGTGGGCCTTAAGCCAGAGGAGGGCTGGGGATCGTGAGGGGGGAGAGAAGGAGGACAGCGTCGATCCTCTGCTCAGCCTGGTTTGATCAAGCTCCCAGGGGCGCCTGGCCCTGGGGGGAAGGGTTGCGTCGGTACGATCCAGCCAACAGACAACAGACAACAGGCAACAGGAGGACGGCGACGATGACGACAAGGAGGACGAGGATGATGACGACGATGAGGAACAAGAGGGAAATTGGAGCAGGAGGGACGAAGTAGACAAGCACCTGCTTGCGATACTTGCGCGCTTTTGTTGTTTTGATCCGCTTTCCACGGCACGCCATTTCAGGCGAAGGGGCATGTTGGTATGATGGTCAGCAGGCTAGCCTCTTCTGCAATCTTCGTGCTTTTGGTGCTCTTCACACATGCGAATGTGCCGAACTTCGCCCGAGACCCGCGGCCCTCGTTCCGAATATGGTTTTTCGCGCGCCCCTTTTGTTGGTCTTCGTGCAGCCAACGCTGGAGGGCAAGGATTGCGATGTTGTTGTGTCCCGCAAACAGGTTCGGACCACGTCCTACATGTTGGCGGCATCGCTTGGGTAACCGCCGTCTAGATATGCAACTATTTGTGCTCATGTCGGCTGCCTTGGATCATTCCAGAATGTTGCGTCGCCCCTTCAACAGCACTACGTATCAACCACTCGATCGCGGCACGTATTGGTTGATTCTCGCCGAGCACGCCAACCTCTTTACAACTATGGCACGTTCCAGGCCAGGACTTGTGGCGACAACCGCGCAGAAATTCCAATCTCGGATCCTCTCTCGACGCAGGAGGGATCACAAGGTAGCAATTCCAAGAATTTTGATAATCACGGTCATGCTGTCCCGCCTTTGGTTTCCGACCATATCGTTAATATCAGTCTCTTAGTGGTTTGTATTATCATGTTTGATCTTGCCATTTGCCACGTTTCGATTCTGAGCAGAACGAATGTCTGTCCGACCCTACGCCCGAGTTTGTAGATAACCACTCCTGACTCCAGTTCCCGACCCCATCGTTTTGCCATTCCAGTTTCGCCCATTCTTTAAATTGCCATATGCGGACTTTCCCCACCCTCCCCTCAGAAATTGTGGGGGGCAGGGGTAGGGTTCGCATGTGGTTCAATAGACATTCCTTATCTACCGATTGTGATCAGTTGGCGTCTTTTCCAATTTCGATGTCCCATCTTAGTATGTTATCCGCATCGGTTTGTTCCTTGATTTCGGTTACGTAAGTCTTGGGACGGAGGGTGCCAGATACAAACGGACGAATTGCGCACCAACATTCACAACGTCCACAATAACGGAGCGGTGTTTCGTATATCATCGTGGACTTTGATCCGTAATACATTTCGGAAATATTATTGCCAGCTGCGCCCAAAACGACACAGGAAGATATCCATCCAAAAAAGGTTGGGTTGAGGATTCGATTCGATCTAGCTGCATAAATCGTCTATTCGGTCCGTCTATTCCATTGACCCCCTACGCAGGCTGTAAGTTCTCAGTAGCCATTTATATATATATATATATATATATATCTATCTATCGGAGTAGGCCCGGGGGCGGGGGTGGGGTGGTGCCAGCGGTTGGCATGGCCGCCCGGGGCGTCCTGTGGGTCCACGAACCCGCCCAAGACGGCCCAAGAGGCCCCAAAGACAGCCCAAAGACAGCATCACCGAGGCCCAAGTGGGCCCCAAGACGCCCAAGAGCGCCCCAAGAGGGCCCGAGATGGCTTGAAGATGGCCGAAGAGGGCCCCAACAGGGTCTTCAAGATGCAAAAATCGGCCCATTCCTTACGTAAAACGTACATTTTCAGCATACTCGCTTGCTTCGTTTTCACAGTGCCCCAGACGCCCCCGAGGAGCTCCAAGACAGCCCAAGAAAGACCCAAGAGGGCCCAAGACGGCCCAAAAGGGTCGTCCTGTGGGGCTCACGGAACCCCCAAGACGGCCCAAGAGGCCCCAAAGTTTGCCCAGGAGGCCCCCAAGACGGCCTCAGGGAGGCTCAGGAGGGCCTCTTTCGAGATCATGTTCCCAGAAGCCTCTCCGGGAACATGATTTCCGGGTTCCCGGGACGCCCAAGAGGACCCCAGGATGGCCCCAAAAGGGCCCTAAAAGAACATTCAAAAAGGCCCGGAGGGCCACAGTTCGTTGATTTGCGCGAGATGTTGTTGGATTTCTTCCGCGCGGAGGAGACGGAGAGGGCGAAGGAGGAGGAGGAGGAGGAGGAGGAGGAGGAGGAAGAGGAAGAGGAAGAGGAAGAGGAAGAGGAAGAGGAGCAGCAAGGCGGGGAGGAGGAGTGGAGGGGAGGAGGGGGGGAGAGAGGATGAGGCTCGAGGGTGATCGACGATCGGCGACGACGACCGGCGACGGTGATTGACGACGACGACGACGACGGTCACGCCGACGGCGGCGACGCTGTCCGCGTGCGCAGAGCCATCCTGGGCTCAGTCTGTGCCGCATCGTTCGAAATTCTGTCCCCGGAGGCCTTTCCGGGAACATGATTTCCGGAGGAGGAGGAGGAGGAGAAGGAGGAGGAGGAGGAGGAGGAGGAGAAGGAAGAGGAGGAGGAGGAGGAAGAGGAAGGAGGAGGAGAGGAGGCAGAGGAGGAGGAGAGGAGGGGGGGGAAGAGGAGGGGGGAGGAGGAGGGGGGGGAGGGCCCGAGGGCGATCGACGATCGGCGACGGTGATCGGCGACGGTGATTGACGATGACGACGACGGTCGTCGACGGCGACGACGACGACGACGACGACGATCGACGATCGACGACGACGATCGGCGACGACCGACGGCGACGATCGACGGCCGGGGGAAGGCCCAGAATTGCTACCTCTGAGGGCTCCAAGAGGGTTCAGAAGGGGCCCCGGAACCCCCAGAGGCCCCCAAACTAGCCCAAGAGGCGCCCAAAGCGCTTCAAGTTGTCTAGGAGGTGGCTAAATAGCGCACTGAGATGGCTTCCGAACGGGCCACGAGCGCTCGAAGACAGCCCAAGATTGCTCCTAGACGGCCACAAAGGTACTCAAGACGGTCCAAGAGGCCGCCGAGAAGGCCCTCCAAGGGGAACAAATCAAACATTTCATGTGGGAAAACGTATATTTTGGGGATATTTGCTTTTCAATCCTACCAGCGGCCGCAACGGCCCCAGAAACTCCCAAAATGAACCCAGACGGCCCAAGAGACCCTCAAGAGGGCCCCCAGACGGCCTGAAGAGAGCGTCAAGCAGCACAAGAGAGCTCTAACACGGCCCAAACCCAGGAACCCCGAGGGGGCCACCGGAGGATCCCTACATGGTCGGAGAGGGCCCCCAGAGGGCCCCAAGACGGGCTCAGGTCCCCATGACGGGCGAAGAGGGACTCGGAACGGCCGAGCTGGGCAAAACGCCTCCCAGGACTCCCTGAAAACGGTCCAAGAGGTCGCTGAGAAGGCAAAGAAGGAGCACTTCCCAAAAGAAACGTACATTTCTAGGACATTCGCTTCTTATGTCCCATCGGCGGCCACGTCGGCCCCAGAGCCTCCCCAAATCAGCGCCACACGGTCCACGAGGCCCCCAAGAGGGCTCCAAGACAGCTTCAAGAGAGCGTCGAGCAGCACAAAAGAGCTCCAAAACAGTCCGAGAGAGTCCCCAGGGGGCCCGAGGGAGCCACTGGAGGATCCCCACATGGTCGGAGAGGGCTCCATGAGGGCCCCAAGAAGGCTCAGCTACCCATGACATACCAAGAGGGGGGTGGGACAGCCGAAATGGGCTCCCAGACGGGCCACAAAAAGTCAACAAAAAGACTCCCCCCACGACTGTCCAAGAGGCCGCTGAGAAGGCCCTCTCAAGACAAAAAGCAAGCATGTCTTATGGAAAAACGTATATTTCTGCGAGCTTCGCTTTCCAGTTCTACCAGCGGTCGCGACGGCCCAAGAGGTTACCAAAATGCGCCCCAGATGGCCCAAAGGCCCCAAAGAGGGTTTCAAGATGGGCTGAAGAGAGCGTCACGCGGCACAGAAGAGCTACAAGACGGCCTAAGAGAGCCCCCAGGAAGCCCGTGGGGGCCACCAGAGGATTCCTACATGGTCGGAGAGGGCCCCAGGAGGGCCCCAAGACGGTCTGAGCTCCCCACGACGAGACACGAGGGGCCGGGAACAGCCGAAATGGGCCCTCAGACGGGCCAACAAAGGCCCGACAGGACTCCAAAGGAAGGTCCGAAGAGGCTCACGAGACTGCCACAATGTTTCTCAAAAGGCTCCCGACACGCGTTCCAGTAGGCACCCGTGTACTGGGTGCGCTGAGGAAAGAGAGGAGGAGGAGGAGCAGGAGGAGGAGGAGAGGAGGAGGAGGAGAGGAGGAGGAGGAGGAGGATAAGATAAGATAAGATAAGACAGCGCCTTGGAAAAGGTCGGAAGGTGAACACACCAAAGACTGGCAAGGTTACAAAAAAATATGCCATCGATTTAGAACTGGCTTCTTTGGCCTTAACTCGGGCGAGTAAGGCAGCCATTCTCTGCTCATACTGTGGGGCCCCTTCACTAGAGGAGAAACCTCTGGGGACGGACGACACAGACTGCACCTCTTTCGGGCTTGCGAGAGTCGCATCAAGTCGAGAAATGGGGATGGCCTTATCCAAACGTTCCCTCAACCTTGGGTTAGGCCCTAACCCCCGACGAAACGCGCTCAAAATCTCGAGGCCCTTAGACGTAGGTGCTTCACAAGTCTTAGCAAGTTTGATCATCCTTCCCTGAGTCCAGCCACCACAGCTGAGACACAAAAATTGTTGCTCCTTTATCTCGGTGCGTCCAGAACCCGAAACAGGACCCGAGGAAGTACCAGAAGCAGTTTTAAGAGCCGTTC